TGCTCTCTGATTATTGCTGGTCTACTGGATTAGTGATGGTGTTTCAGATTTTGTTTTACAATTAAAAAAATGTAAGTCCCTCAATCCTCTATTCAAGCCTGTTTTGTAAGAATCTTCTTAATGGAGAAAAGGACATTATATCCAAATACATATTTTCTGTCTCCTCCACCTCCTCATTCCTACAGGGAAACTTTCTGCAGAGGTTTCGTGTGTCTTCGCAAACCGAAAGGAGGTTGTGTGAGTGGGAGTCAGGAGTCAGCTGTGTCACAAGTACCAACCAATAGGGCAATAGGAAATGGCCTCAAGTTGTGTCAGAGGAGGTTTAGATTGGATATCAGGACCTTGCCCAAGGAAGTGGTTGAGTCACCATCCCTGGAGATATTTAAAAGAAGTGTAGATGTGGTACCTGAGGGCATGGTTTAGAGGTAGACTCACTAGTGGTGGGTGAATGGTTGAGCTCAATGATCTTAAAGGTTTTTTCCAACTTAAATGATTCTATGATTCAGCCTGCATCCCAGCAGGGTCATCTGGGGGCAGTTTGCATACTTGTGGGATTTTTTTTTTGAGGAAAAACAGTCATTAGACTCCTACACACCATTCTGCGTAGGCAGCACAATCTAGCTCTGCAATTTTTTGATGTCATTGCCTTATTAAAAATAAATAATCTCTAAAGATAACAGGGTAAAGGAAATAAGCCAGACAATATTCCTTTGGACAGAAAGTCTCTCACATGCCCATATGATACAACCTGATATCAAAGTACTACTTGAATTTCAGAGAAATATGGTTTTTCTTCAGCATTTTCACAAAGCTTCCATTAAACGCCAATTGAGTTCACACTCATGTGGCAGAAGGAGAAATACCCGAGAGTGCATATAAAAATAATTGAGTGAAACAAATTCTAAATACTTTACTGCTTTATTTGTCTATTCATTTTTCAATAAATTTCTAATCTGAAACCTGCAATTAAGATGTTGTGCTATTGGAAACAATAGGCTGGGTTTACATATAGCTGTCAATTCCCACAGAAGGTGCTGGGAAACATTCTGTAAAACTCTGTCTACACTATGCAAAAAGGAAATCACAGCTGCAGCTAAGCAAGCAACATAATAATGATTTCCCTGAAGTAATCTGCTTGAATTTTCAAATGATTCACCATGAGCAAGCTTAAGTTCAAATAACATTCCTTTTCCAGCAGCTTTCTCTCAGTTCCATAGCCCAGACCCTTGTGGAAAGGATACTTTCAGGACCTTAGAGCTGGGAAGATTTTCTTGTGTCTGATTATTGTTCCGTGCTGTGGCTTGCAGAACACACTGCATCTGAATTCGTATAAATAACAAAGCCCTGTCTTTAAAAGGAAGAGCCAAGGAAGGAAGGGGTAAGGCAATTCTTTCCATTAATTCATCTAAAAAGATACTGTTCAGAAACACCTCGCTGCCAGCTTGAACTTTTCTTAAGTAACCCAGTCTTTTCATGCCAGTGATCTTCCCACTGTTTACCCAGTATTTATCCACCACTCCCATAATCTCTCCCAGCATTGGTTTTGACAAGGTAAACAAGCTAAACTCTTCTGGTATCCTCCAGAAAGTTTCTAGGTAGTCCAATATAGAAAGTTTCTAGATGTCCCAACAAACAAAAAAAACAAACAAACAAACAAACAAGCCCTCAACCTAAACAAAACCAAAACAAACTAACCAACTGAACAAACAAAAAAAATCACAAAAGCAGACCTGTATCCAGGCCTACATATGGAGGTTTCCATCAAATGTCTGTCACCTTGCAAATATCGTATAAAATTTCAGCACTGTTATGTGTTTTTGCAAGAAAACAGACTAGCCCAATGCTCCAGAGCGAGGGAAAGGACGGTATTGTTTAAACCCTGGGCTGAACATAACCCAGTGCATCTTAGGCCTGTTTTTCAGAAATGTTAAACAGCATTGACCCTCCTCAACTTCAGGTGGAGTTGAAGATGCTCAGATAAGGCCCTTAAAATCTTAAAATCACAGTTTGGCTCTTGAGGTAGGTGTAGAATGAGTCTGTGTTCACACAATAGTCTGATACAGCACCTCATGCCCTCATCTCATGCCCTCAGGTACATGTACAGCTGAGAATGGTGGCAAGCTCTCACACCCTTAGAAACCCTTATGCTCTTCCAATCGCTTCAACATGGCCCTCTCATTCTCCAAGTGAATCACAAGTGGTCAAAACTCTCTGAAGGAAGTGTTCTCTGCCCATTGGAGAAAGCTGACTCATCCACACAAAATCCTCTGAAGAGACTGATTACAGAAAATGTCCAATTGTTGATGTTATGTGACCCTCTTGCTTTCAGAGATCTTTCCTGGGACTTGTGCTTGGGTAATGGAGAGATGGATGAAATCTGCATACTGTAGGTGAAAGAGAGGTGAAGCTCAGTCTTTGGTAAGGGATTAGATGGGTCACTGACACTTTCAACAGATTGAGATAATGCAATAGATATGGTAAAGATATGCCATAGATATGATAAAGAAAATAGTGTAAAGAGTATAATTTTGACTGTTTGTTATTAATGTTGGAAGAAAGAAGGGGTAGGGCCCACAAAAGGGAGAGGAAAACTATTGGCCCATGTTGTAGGGTCAGGTCCAGAGATAAGAGGCTCTGCATTTCTGAGAGCAAGACCCCAGAAAGCTCTCAAAAATGTTCAGCAGGATTAGAAAACTGAGGCATAGTATGGCACACAGACATGTTATTGTTTTGCCTAGATCTGTATTTCTCTTGAGCTGCCTAAAATAGTGTTGAGGGAGCTGTAAGGGGGAGGATTGGGATGTGGTTGGAAACCTCATGCAAATGCTGCAGTATTCACTTCAGCTATCATGTGTCCCCGAGGAGGTGGCCTGCCAGAATATCCACAGAGCTGGTGCTCTGGGAAGGAGTTTGATTAAGCCATCAGGGAGTCTCTGAGACCTGAGACCGGTCCCAGGGGTCACAAACCATTACACAGAGGTCAAGTTCACTCTGACTAAAGATCTGAGTTGGCACCAAAGGCAAATCAACTACAAAGCTTTTGCTCATAAACTTGGCACTCAGCTCCAAAACTCCTGCTGAATACCAAGGCTGACTGAATTCCAAGGTCCCAGTTCTCATAAGGGGATGCTCAGAGGGTCTGCACTTTGGGAACCTTTTGAGAAATCCAAAGTCGTGAAGCAAAGACATGCAGCAGGCTGGACCAAGTCACACAAGGAGGAGGGAGGGAAGGGCTACAGCACCAAGATCTCCAGAGATCACCATGTCGAATGCAGGGGAATGATGAATTGAATCACCAGTTTGCAGCCTTGCAGCTGCCTGGGAAAATGGGAGATGCTGTGATTTTCAGGGTCACTGGTCCCAGTCCTGCCAGTCACATGGAAAGCCCTCGGATGAGAAACTGAGGGTTTCCAGCACCCTCCCTTGTTCATCAGCCTGCCAGAAATGCAGTGACCCAAGGGTTTTCCCTTTAATGGAAAAATGTTGGAATTTAGGTTTCATTCCAATTTGAAACAAAACCAGATTTTGCAATATCAAAATCCTCCACAAAACGAAATGACTTTTCATAGCACAGCTTTACTGATTGATGCAGACTGCATGTAACTGAGAAGAGCCTGATAAGTGGGTGTTTCAATCAGAATTTCCTGGTCTGTCACTTCCAAGAAGACAATCCACTCCAGAACTGATGGCTGCAGTTTTGCAGGAAGGTGGTGAGAAAGCAGATTAGGGCACAGCATCAGTGCAATGTCACACAGTGTCTGGGTGCTGCTGCTGCTGTGACAGCTTCTCAGGAAAGGTCCTTTCACACGCTGCACCTTCCCTTTTTGGTGCTGCTGACATGCCTAGACCGTGGTGACGGTCTTTTCCGCATGGACACAGTTACCTGGCTCTCTTGGCTTAGAGGTGTTCACACTGCAGGTAGCAAAGCTACAGCAATTGGGGCTAGCTGAGCTCACCAGTAAAAGTAACTGATTTAAGGTCAATAAACAGGAAAATAAACTGGGGATGGAGGAGCTCTGTAGATGAGGGAACGCTGCATCAGATGTTTTTGCACAGAAATGACTTCTGTTTATCACCATTAAGCTCACACACATGGCTTCAGTTTTTACAGCAGTTGCCCAACTTACCTGCTGCGTGTGGATGATAAGATACTCAACTGTGAGGAGGATTCAATTATTCTACTCCACAGTTAGTTTGGTAAATTCGCTTGATAGTCTGGTTTGAGCGACACAGTGTTATTAATATCTGCAGGAGGCACAGGAGAATGCTGCAGAGTAATATATCTGAAACGAAGGCTCTAAGACACGATTGAGACAATAAACTTCTCCCTCGTACAAGATGATTACTTTAAACTCACTTCTCTTTAAATATCAAAAAGCTGGTGCCACAAAGATGGGTTAAAAATACTTATTTTGACTATTTCTTTTACTGGAAGAAGATTAGAAAAGAATAAGCACAGACTTTAAATGACGCTTACCAGGAAATACAGCTTACAAAACTAAGAAACAGACTTGTATTGCTTTTTTCATCTCTTCACCTCTGGAACAAATCCTGAGTTTAGCTGCATGTATATGTTGTCCTTTCTGCTGCAGGTGTTGCTTTTTTGCTGGTTTTTTTCATCTTATTAATTTGTTTACCTCCAGCAGTTACAACAAAGTGGACAGCTTTCTTCCCCAAAAGAAGAGCAGAAATGGGTCCCCCTTGAAGGAATTCCCCCACCTAAGGAAACTGAGGCACAACCTGTTCCTTCAAGCTACCCAAAAACAGGGAGCACAGATTTCCCATGAGTTTATTTAAGCCATTTAAATTGTTTAAATAATAAAATAAATGAATAACATTATTCTTGAGACACCCAATGACAAGATGTCCCAGATGGTCTAAATTCTGTCTGTCTGTAGGTGTTTATAAGTATGGCAGCCCCATTCTCCACTCCCCTCCAAATTCTGATTTTCTGGATGCAGTTTTACAACGAAAACCCCAGCTCTGCAGCCCATACTTACAGCAAGCACTTGCATTAGACCTGGACCTCTGCACTGTGGCACCCAGCTTGCATCAGTATGGCCAAGGCAAGGGAAAATATGCTCCCAGCAAGGTTTTCTGCAGACAGAAATGGAGAAATCTGTATTGAACAAAGTAAGCAAGAAAGTACGTTCACTACTTAAAAATCAATATTCTCTGGGAACTTCACCTCCTCCTTAAGGTATCTAATTACTTTTGAACCTCCATTCACAGTGACATGTAGTGTTGAAGGGGGGAAAGCTAATGGGAACTGTTTGTCTTCGTTTATCCTGCAGAAATGTCAGGTTTAAGAGTTGTATTTGTCACAAGCACACTCTTTCCTTCGGGAAACATTACATATTTAATCCACTTAGTATCTTGCTACCAAGACAGATGCTGTTTGGAGCAATATGTATCTTTTCAGTGCAGTCTGGGATCTCAGTTTACCAATAAATAAATTACAAAAAAATCAAGAGAGTTTTTCTCTTTGGCCAGGGTTGTAAGGCACACAAAATCCAGGCCTGGTTGTAGCACAACCTCCTCTTCTACTCTACTAGAATACATAACCATTGCAAAAAAAAAAAAAACCCACAAAAAAAAAAAAAAAAAAAAAAAAAAAAAAAAAAAAAAAAAAAAAAGAAGCACAGTGATTAACACAGTGAGCTCATTTGAAAAATATCTGAAAAGTTTCTAGGACCATTTCCACTGACCTGCTCTTTCATACCAGACATCTTTTGTTCCCCTCCTCTTTAGGCTGCAAGCTGTCTGTGAGTACTTACATGTGAGCAATAGTTTACACTGGAACAGTAACATTTCTCTGGGGACTTTCAGGTGTATGCACAAGGTGTGGAGGTCTTTATTTTGTCCAAAGAGGAGCTCTTCCAGGACAGGCCAATTGCTTTAATCAAGGAGAAGGAAATGCAGCTAACCATTCTCTTTTAATTTTTTTCCTCTTTTCTATTATTTTGTTTCAAATTAATTTTATACTGAATGCTAAGCAAAATAAACATCTCCCATGGAATTTTAATGAATGAAAGAGTAAATTCCAGAACTTTACAAAAGAGGTAAATAAACTGAGAATCCTCTCTGGTGTGCTGGTGGAAATGTGGAGTAGCCCAGATGATATTATTGAAGTAATTACACATAAAGGAATAAGTATGAATTAAAAATTCATTAACGGCACTAGAAAGGATCAAAGAAGAGGAATGATCAGGTAGGAGTAGAGATGATGGTACGCAGAATTTGTCATGGTAGCATAAGAATGAAACATAGGGAATCAGCCACCCTCACTCACACACAGGGCTGCTGCAATAGTGGAGAGTATGTTGTTACTTGGGTGAAATGCTCGGCATTGCCTTATGGGGTGTGCATGCCTGCAAAGTTCAAATATTCTGTGTGAGACCTATCTGGCCTGGAGGGAAATTCCTGCTGCCCCTATATTTAACTTGCATTACAGAAGGCCAATAAAATTCCCCTTGGAGTTAACTGTCTCAGTAACAAGTGCCCAAAATTAGCAGGCAGCCTTTTTTTTTTTTTAAGAGTCTGGAGCAATCCATAAAAATTTTACTAGATTAAACAATGTTTACAATATGCTAAAGTGGGACGTCTCCTGAGAGTAGCCTGGCTTGTGGCAGGGAAGGGGATGTGAAGGGCATCTGGACCCTCACAAGTGACCACCCCCTCTGGATCAAGCAGTGTGGCCAGGCAAGGGCAGGTGCCATGCTGGAAGTGGTCTGGGACATGCTCCCACCTGCATCACCTCCTGCAATGAGGGGAAGGTGCTCGTGCCTGTGTCTTGGCTCTCCAGCAGCATCCCTGAACACCCTAATCCATCCAAGAATGGGCTGAATGGGGCTCTGAGCAACCTTATCCAGTGGAAGGTATCCCTAGCCAAGGCATGGTGTTTGAGCTAGATGTCTTTAAGGTCCCCTCCAGCCAAAGATTCTGTGATTCCATGAAGAGGCTTTGCACCAGGCACATGCCTCGCTGAGGCAGGGTGAGGGTGGAGATGTGCAGCAGCAGGAAGGTGTCAGCAGCACTTGCAGGGCAACAGCAGCAGCTAAATCTCAACACCAGCCTTGGGAGCAGAGCTGAAGCTCCCCACAGCCACTTATGAGGGACAGACTGCAGCTCTTTCTTGTCACCTCTTCTGCCCCCTCCCTCAGACGCAAGCTGTGTGCTCACCAATTCCTTTGGCAGTTGTGGAGCTGTTGGAGGTGACAGCACAGGAGAGGATGTTTTGTGCTCCCAGATTTTGCTGTGCTGCACCTCAGCTACACTGACACCACCAAACTACAAAACTGATGAAGTGAGCAGGGGCTTCTGGAGATCATCCAGTCCAACTTCCCTTCTCAAAGCAGGGACAACTATGAGCAGTTTTTGAGGGCAATTTTTAGTTGGGTTTGGAAGGATAGAGATTTCACAACCTCCCTGGACACCTATCCCAGCGTTCCACCTTTGGAGTGAAGGCTTAAACCTATATTTCAGTGTGTGCCCATTCTCTCTTGTCCTGTCACTGGGCACCACTGGAAAGAGCATTTACATCACTTTACACTGAAGAGAGTCACTTTACATCTTTCCTTCAGATATTTATACACACAAGGCCCATCTCAAGCCTTCTCTTCTCAGCATGAAACAGTCTCATCTTTTTGAGGACAGAATACAGCTGCAGGGCATGGCCATACAACCGCACTGATCAGTCAACAGCTTATGGACAACCACCCCTTTTTATACCTTTGCCCTGCTATTTTCCCACTTTTGTTCCTGCTAAAATCATCTAACTCCCTCCCTTGTACCATCTATCACATAACCTAACACACTAATATTGTTGTAGAAGGCTCTCAGATTGATTGAGCACATTTTTGCCCTTCTGAAGTCCATGATGGCTCCTAGCCACCTATTTGTTCTTCATATGCTTGGAAACCATCTCCTGGATGAGTTTTCCCATCATCTTCCTGGGGATCCAAGTGAGGCTGACTGGCCTGTAGTTCCCCAGATCCTCCTTCCTGAAGACAGGGAGGGAATTTTATTTTTTCTTCCACTCCTAAGGTACCTCCCCCAAAAGTTAGGGCCTCTTAAAGGTTATCAAGAGCAGTCTCACAATTTGTCAGCCAGCTCCCTCAGTGCCTGTGAGGGCACCCTGCCAGCTCCCATGGGCTCAAGCATGTCCAGTTTGTTTAAATGCTCCCTAACCCAGTCCTCTGGCACTGAGAGCACATCTCCCTTGCTCTGGGATTTCCCTCTAGTCTCAGGGCCCCTGGATTGCTGAAGTCCAGTCTTACAGTAAAATCCAATGGGAAGAAGGTATTGACCTTTCCTATGCCCTTTGCCACCAAGTTTCCTGCCCTTCTGCCCCATACAGCACCAAGCCCATATTTTCCCTAGTTTTCCTTTTCCTATGAATGTGCCCAGGGAAGCTGTTCTTGTTAACCTTTACTGCCCCTTAAAGATTCATCTCCATATGGGTTGAATTTTCTTTCCCCAGTCATGCACTCTCAGTATCTGTATTCCTCCCGAATCACCTGCACCTGGTCCCACTTTTTCTATACTTCCTTTTTGCATTTTAATTTGCTAAGGAGCTCCTTGTTCATCCATGCCCATCTCCTGCTGCCTTTGCTTGATATCCTGCTCATTGGGATGGACCATTCTGGTGCTGGGAACAGATGACCTCTGAAAATCAATCAGCTCTCCTGGACCACTCTTCTCTCCAGGGGTGTTTCCTGTAGGATTCTTCTAAGCAGATCAAAGTCCAAAGCCTGCTCTCCTGAAGACCAGGGTTGTAATGTTGCTTTGAGCCTTGTTTCCTCCCCTCAGGATCCTCAACTCCAGCATATCAAATGGTGAAGAGCAGACAAGCACCTTGTTCCCAGCTTGGGTTCTGGCATAAGATGCGTATGAAAAGCCAATTCTTCATGTGCTTGAACAAGGAAAAAGACTGAGTCTAAAAATAATAATCATAAAAATGATAGATCTTCCTTTGGAAATGTTGGCTGAAACATTTGTTGTTGTCTCTTTTTTTGTTCCCAAATGGCTTTTATGAGAATATTTCTTAGTGCTTTTACATAACATTTTATATTGTGTTAAATCACTGACCAGATTTCTTTGAAGAGAATTCTTGAGGGGCTTTTGCAATGCTAGGAAAAGAAGAAAAAATGGAAAGCATATCCTTTTATTTCTTTCCAATTGGAAAAAGTCAACCCAAATCAACAGGGAAATGGTTTAATTTCAGGCTCCTAGAGAGATACTAGAAACACTGGCAAGGAGGAGAAAAAATAATTTTAAAAGGTACAGCTGATACTTCATGTTCATTCTGAATGTTTTGCATTGTTTTCCTTGTCTACTAAAATGGTGTCAACAATTCTTTTAAAGATGCAGATTTTAAATCTCCAGCTCAATCAGATCCATAGTCTTTGTTTGCAAAGAAGAAAAGGCCAGTGTTCCTGAGAGGCAACACAGCATGATGAATTCAGACTGCTACCACTGCCCTGCTTTTTGACAGACACAGCTGAACCAGGGAATTTTTTATTTCTTTTGATGAGGGTAAGAATAATCTCATTAAGGTTTTTCTGTTCACTGTTTATGGTTTTTAAACTAGATACATCTAATGGCAAGCTATTTAAATTGGACTTCACATAAAATTTGTGCAAAATAATCTGATATTAGATAAAGAAATATGCCATCGTAAATATGGCAACAAAAGTCTGTAAAAGCGCACAAAGCAGTTAGTGTGGCTAAAAGGTTTACAGAAGTTGCTGGCAAACATGGCAAGTTTTGGAATCTGTGAACACTGGTGGAAGGAGGTTTCATCTGAAATGGTAAAACTTGCATGTTAACTATCACCAGGCAGATTTTCCATTCTGTCTTGTAGCCTTTGGGAGCAACAGTGTGGAAGATGGAAGAATACTATTGCCCTTTCCATGGGCGCGGGTGTGATGGACATTAAATCACTAATTTGTGGGTGGTGCTCATTTTGGCACCCCCAGGAAAACCATCTCTGTCTGCTCTGGCCCCTGACTGAACAATGACCATTTTTATTTCCTGCTAGCCAAGACTCCTGTGCAAATAATTTTCATTTTAAGGCCAGAATGAAAATAATTTAA